AGAGAGAGAGAGAGAGAGAGAGAGAGAGAGAGAGAGAGAGAGAGAGAGAGAGAGAGAGAGAGGGAGGGAGGGAGAGAGAGCAGGAATGGGAGCGTGAGGAGGAAGAGCATGACGACGAAGAGCATGAGGAAGACAAAGAGAAAACCAACTTCATCAACTCAGAACCATCAATCAACTTGCGATGGCGACATGCGGCCACACAGAAAACTCAGAGATATGGCCTCTGGCCAGGAACTCAGCTGAAGTCAACTGTTACAACTTGCGGCTATGGCCGATGAATACCGTCTGAATCCCCAACCGAACACTGTCTCCCCCATCGGCCTCACCCTTACTCACACACACATGCATGAAGATCTACCCTAAATATCCACGGATCACACACACTACACTCTCTCTCTCGTTGACGTCAGCAGCTGGCGGCTATGGCTGCCGCCGTCTTCCTCGTCTTAGCTACATCCACCGTTGTCTTCATCTGCCCACTTCAACTTTGGGCACCTGCAGACCTTTAGTGCACTAGTCGCTCCAGCAGCGCTTCCACATGGCTCAGAGGCGAATGAATGAATGGCTGAGCGCTGCCGCTTTATTTATTGTTTCGTAGGTGGCCTGGCCTGCCCCCCGGCCCTGGGCCCAAACCGTGTGGTCCTATGGTGCCCCAAACTGCGTGGGCCGGTAGGGCCCAAAGTGCGTGGGCCTGTAGGGCCCAAAGTGCGTGGGCCTGTAGGGCCCAAAGTGCGTGGGCCTGTGGAAACCGCGTGGGCCTGTAGGGCCCAGACTGCATGGACCTGTAAGGCGCAAACGGCGTGGGCCTGTGGGCTCCAAACAGCGTGGAACCACCCCACTTGGCACTTGCTGACTAGACAAAGCGGACTGTGGCTGACCCCGGCTTCCTGACTCAGCGACTGACTATTGACCCCCACAGGACCAAAGAGCCACCTACTGACTTCTATAAACTCCTAGACCTAGACTAACTGACAGACCTTAGGACAGCTGAGACTAAGTCTCACGGTTCAAGTCCACGCAACCAGACACTGTACACAGACCGTTGACAAACGACGTTTGGTCAGGTCGTGGGATCAAGGCACAATGGGTCAACGGGTACTGTACACAGGGATAGGGGTTAGGTCTAGGGATCGAGTCCTGATGTCTGCAAGTGCCGAACAAACTGGGTGAAACCGTCTCACTCCAGATGCACGGCCAGCATTACGGCTTACGTTACAACGCTATTTCAGATAACTCCCCCCAGCGATTGGCAACTGCCAAGCACACTGGATGCTGATTACTTCATTTATACATTACAAGGCCTGCACGAGAGCAGTGCCACTCTTATAATTGAAGGGGACGTCCAACAACTGCCCTTGGCCAATTCTCAATCACACCATCTCAGCGCCCCCCCTGCCAATTCTCTATCTCACCGTCTCGGCCCGCCGAGCTGAATGACACACACACATACATGCACTCGGACATGCACAACACAAAGATTCAGAACTCAGCAAGTAAGCATATGGGATCCATACAAGATCAGTTGATTACAAACATATTCAGAAAACACAGCAGACAGAATTGTGATCCTGAGCAAATACATTAACGTGACAGGATGTTCTCTGAAAAGTTACCGAGTTCCCGGACTGCAACTGTGTGGGTCATTTTACACAGCGTAGAGCACGAAACGATGCTTCTCAAAGAAAACGCTCACCGTAAAAGAAAGAAAAAAGGTTCGGTGGTATTCCCTCCCATTATCTTCCAAGCGAAGCTGCAGCAGGTAATTTAGAAATCAGATTAACAGAGTGGAATCGTTCTGAGTTACCGGGGCAGTCAATTCAATGATGATATCTCAAGACTGTGGGAAACGTAAAAAAAAGAAGGAAAGAGCAGCTGCGCACTGGGGCCCGAGCGCGCAAGACTCATGGCATTCTACATCCGGAGGTAAGTTGAAGAAGTACCAGTGTGAGCATGGGCCTCGCCGTGCCACACACCGAATGTACAAAATGAGGACGAATCTTTCGCTAGAACCTGGAAAGATGCATTGCCATAATTTTTGTCTTCTGTGCATTGGTGAGTAGTGCCGTGAGGCCCTATACCCATTGAAAGAAATGGCCAAACCAAGCGACTAGATGGCCGCTGTCCCCCTTCCTATTAAAAAAAAAGAAAAAAAAGATGGACACTGTGTGGGTGTATAAATGATGTATATTCTTGACTTTCCGGAGGAAGAGGAGGAGGGGGTTAAACCGCCAGTACACGGACCCAGCCTTGGTGAAAATGCAACTTGTCGCCTACAAAAATTTCAGAGGCTCGGCCTAGCGGACCACAATCATGGCTGGCTGCGCCAGCAAAAAAAGAAAAAGTGCGCCACTGGTGGTTCGGAAAAGCTTGGCTCGCAGTAAGGCGCCACCAGGTCCAAGTGTACTGGTGGTTTATGTCTTTGTGGCCAAGGTACGTAGTGTTGATGGCATGCGGGGTTTTGACTTATCTCTGTAAGGCATGGCAGTGTTTGCGGTAGGGGGTTAATTTTTCATCTCGTACACCTGAAACACCGTTCTTTCTCACAGAGGATCCATGTAATTTGTTCGGGTTTTGACTGGCAGTGTTTGCGGTAGAAGGTTAATTCTTCATCTCATAGACCTGAAACACCGGATCCATGTACTTTGTTTGTCCATCTTCGTTTTTGATCAAACATATGTTACTGTTTTTTTTCACCGCCTGCATTCCTTTGGTGTCACTATCATTCTTGACATGCCACCTCATTTTTTTCACCGCCTGCATTCCTTTGGTGTCACTATCATTCTTGACATGCCACCTCAACACCAAGGTCAGTAGCTATACAACATTTGAATTCCTGTGACAACCACCCTAACACCCATCTTTTTCTCTACCGGTCACAACTGCTCATTCTCCTGAACCTCGACTTCTCCACACCGCTTCTAATACTTCTCTCTCCATCGACTATTTATGCCTTTCCAATCTCCCTTTTCCTGATGCAGGCGGACCCATCTTCTCCTCCATTCTCTTCCTCCTCTTTCTCCTATCATCATCCATGGTTGCTCTCCATGATCGTTTGTGAGCAAGGAGGGGTGTCTTCCATTTATGTCTCCCTCTTTCACTGGACTGGTACGGTACTGGTAAATAGTGCAAAAGTAAATGGTACCAGAGTGGTACCTCTTTCCAGTGTACTAGACCAGGGTACTGGTCCGTCTGTTGCATTTTAAGTTTTGGCTGGAACAAATTTCCGGCCAGAGTTTTGGCGGAAACAAAATTTAGAGGTTGAGGCTTCTTTTGCATCTTAAGATTCCTGGTGCAGTTTTCCCTTTTAGTTATGATGGACCCGTTTTCCAGCAGCTCCAACCCGACCAATGGTTCAGACTCCAGAGATTAACGGAACGCAAAAAAAAGGAAAAGAGGTTCACTCACCCTTTCAAACATTTGGTGAAGCATCAGCGAGGGCCAAGGTCTTTGTCAGAAGGAAAGCTAATGGGACCAGGTGAGTTCACAGTCGGTTGTTTCTGAGTCTTTGTGGTTGGGACTTTGTGCAGAGTGGGAGTACTGATCTGTTTCTGCTTGTCACTTCTTTCCTTGTGTACATCACATTTGGTGGAAGAGCAGATTCCTTTCCGGAACATGGCGGCCCTCAGGGATTTGGCAGCAGATGTGGGCCTCTATCCTCTGGTGGCAAGCTGTGAAGCAATCATTTTGCAGACTTTGCAGCAGTCAGAATGTCCTTCGCCCACTGAGACAGTGGAGGTGGCATATGAGACTCTCTGTTCTGAAGGGGAAGATAACTGCTCTGCATCACCTTTTTCATTGCTTCCATTGGACATGTCTCGGCTAGAAAGTTTCTATGAGACTGGTGAGTTCAGCGATGTCACGGTGATTGTGGGAGGTACCAGGGTGGCGCGTGTTCATAGACTGGTACTCAGCGCATGGAGCGACCCTTTCTGCAAGGTCCCGTGTCTTGCCCTTGCTATCTTTTTCCCATCTGCCTCCCTTATCCCTCTGTTCTCAAGTTCCCAGCCTGCCTGCATTGCCTTTCTCCTGTCTGTTCGTATGTTGAAAATAAGGAACAGGATTGCATGAACTGCTGCTGAAGACATGGGGAGTCGCCGTTCTCCAGGGTCAGGCTGTTGCTCAACTCTCCTTTTGCTCACTTTCCTCACTCGATGCGTTCTTTTCCCCCCTCGACCCCTCTTGTGCCTCTGTGCTCGAGTTCCAGCCTGCCTTCCTTGGCTTTCTCCCTTCTGTTCATATGTTGAAAATAAGGGACAGAAACTCACAAACTGGTGAAGAAGGCATAAGGATTGGCCCTTCTCCGAAGTCTGACTGTTGCGTAACTCCCTTTCATCTCCTTTTTTCTCGCTGTCCACTCCATGCCTCCGTCTTCCCCTCTGCTGGTGGCCATCATCATCATGAAAAGAACCAAAGTTTGAAGGGGGAAACCGAGAAGGAAACGAGGTGGATATACTGGCGAGTTAGGGCTTGTGAGTTGTGGGTGAGCTTGTGCTTGGCGTCACAAGTGACTCTTCCTGCAAGGTTTGGTACGTGGTCATTACGCTTACCCTTCTCTCTTTCCCCGCCTGCTTCCCTTTCTCGCGCTCATCAGACACCACGTTACCACTGCTTTCCTTGTTAGATGAGGACTCTGCACTGTGTAACTAAGGGCAAACTCACAGTGGCATTCTTTTCAATGCATCTCAACTATGGCCAGGTTGAAGTCATAAAGGTCCTAGTGTGAGTATGTTGTGCTAAGGAAGGAAATTAATCTTGAAGGTAAAGAAGGAAACGAGGTTGAGGCGGAAGATAGTCACTTGTTGAATGTGGGGTATGACCACCACGTCCTTTTCTTCCCACTTCATCCTCTCTCCCTCCTCCAAAAAGGCTCTCATCCTTACTTGCATGAAGATGGCTGATCGGCTCTGACATTAACAAGGGAGAAGAGGACAAGGCAGAACATTGGGGGGAGGTTGAAACAAGTATTGGATGGGAAAGATTGCAACCACAATACCTTCAAGTGGAGCCCCTGGACTACCAAACTGTTGTGGGGTTTGGGCCTCACTGTGGCAACCATGTGCCTCTTTTTTTTCTTTTTTTTTTGAACAAAAACTCTCCAGTCTATTCGTGGGGAGCTTCACGTGCTGAGAACCGGGCTCACTTTTGCACCAGAATTGTTTAGAAGTTTAGACAGTTTTTTTTGGGCTTTTCTAATAGTTTTCCCTTATATGGTGGCACTTGCCCTACATCCATGAGTTTTTGCGGTTTTATTTGTTGAAGCGGAATGAGAGCAAAATATCGCCAAAGTGGGGACACCCCCCCTCCCTGTTGCCACCTGCCTAAGGTGGGCCTAATCTGACTGTTCTCTCGTGTTAACTGGCACGGTGCCGCAGATAGCAGGGTGTGGTACCGGGGCATAATCCTACTAGGAGCAGCATATGTCCAGATGCGAGCTGGTTGAATGTCAGCATCCGGATGACAGGTGTGCACTATCCTGCTGCTGGTGGGGCCATGACCCTCGTGGTTAAACCACTAGTACCTCCTTGCGAAAAAGCAGCAATGCTTGTCCAATTCTTATGTTCTAAATTTAGCATGTAATACTCTTTTCGCCTGCACTTATTTTTGTCTTCAAATCTATCATTCAAACTTTCCAGAAACTTGTCTATGTCAGTCTGTTGAGAGTATTTGACCTGCAGCCTTTGCTACGGATATCGCGCAATTGAGTGCATCTCCTCCCTAGCAAGAGACTGCCATCATCACTTTCAAGTTTCAAGCGGTATTCAATCCGCTGAGCATACAGGTATGGGCACACTTCTGCCTACCAGTTCCGCACATCTTCATGTTTTCTTCCATTGAATGTAGGGTGACTTAACTTAAATCTTATCTGGGCAAGAGGATCCTTCTTCCCTGTCAGATCTTCCTCCACCCCTACCCCCATCATCACCTCCATCTCCATTTCTGTCATCAGGATACCTTTTTCCTCCATGATTACCCAGCGCATTCTTCAACTTTCCCACCATGTCCTGCAAGTAGCAGTTGCAAGTGTCTTCCACAAGCTCATAAACTTCCTCAAGCAGGTGATTCCACTTGCTAGTCATGTCCTCTTGCGTATTCCTCACCTGCTCTACCTTGGCTCTTACTGCACCTACATCCTCACGTGTTCTACGTTGGCTCTCACTGCAGCTACGTCAGTAGTGGTACTGAGGGTAGTACTGAGGGTAGTACTGAGGGTAACATCAGACAGAAGGGCTAGATTAGGGGTCTTACTCCCCTGCATATTGGTTTTCAATGCATCTATCAGGGCTGCGTCAAAACCACCTTCTTTTGCTCATTCTGTTTCTCCTTTGTCTCCATGGCATCCTTGACTTCCTTTATCCTCCTCTCCGCCTCGACCATTTTCTATTCTTCCTCTTCCTCCTCTAGGTTGACCAAAGAGGTCTTGAGATGGGTCTTGCCCAATTTCCTTCCTTTTCACGAGGGCCCCCTCCCCAATCAGTACCCGAATTCGCTACCACATTCATCCATGACTCGCAAGATGTGACCCCTTGGTCTAGCACTCGGTTTAGCCTATTCCTTTGTGTCATCCTGTCTCTTTTCCTCTTCATTCGTCCCTCCCCTCTCCTCCTCTACTAGTTCTTTTCACATTGATCTTTTCTCTCTTTTTCCTTCTCAACTTCCACTTTCTTCTTCTGCTGTTCTTCGTATTCCTTATCCCCTGGTTGACACACAACTTTTCCATCCTTAAGGATCTGCATGTGCCTATGGTAAGATCTAAAGCAACCGAGAGGGAATATCATTCACAGTAATGGCTGCCGCAGAACGGCGAAGGCACAGTTATTAAAGGTTGGATAATTGTTCATGGTGGAAGCCTGGAAGGTGAGTATGACTACCAGCCAAGATGTCGACTTCCATTCCGCTTCCTCCTACGGCGTTTGACCCTAACTGACCCGATGCCTGTTGACTCTTCCTAATTGGCTCTCACTACTGGGCTAGGTGAACAGCTGATTTAAGTACAGGCTGCGAGGTCCTCAGGAATTCTTTAACGCCGCAAACGGGACGAACATGGCCAGGCAGCCGGTGAGTATCGTTCCTTGGGCTCGATAGGTTGTTTAATGAGCGCCCGCTGCTCATGCCCGTGCAGCTACTTTACCACATTGGCCTTCGGCAGGTTGACCTAAGTATGTACAGGTGCATCACCTACGTGACCAACCTAAGACGACATCAATAGAAATTGACAAGTAGCAGCTTGATTTCTGCAAAGTATTGGCACACCAATTACAAGGCAACACTCAAGACTCATGCAAGGCTACGGTTGAAGAGGTACTTCACTGCTGCTGGAAGATGGTCCACGTAATCTTCAGCTAGGTCTTCTTCTTCTTCGTTGACCCCTTTTGCTTAATTCAATTCCCTCAACCCTATTCGCTGATTCACTTCCCCAAGCTGTCAATTCTCCCAAACCACGGGGCCTATATCAACTGCCGACCTCATCTCCAACCTGCAGTCCAAAGACAACGGGAGTTTGCTCTGATACCAGTTGCAATGATGTCGCCAATTCATGCCAAAATCATGCCCATGCAAGCGCACAAACTGTCATACCAAACTCCATATTAGATGAACACAATACAAGAATCTCAGAATTGTTCGTGAAAAATCAGAGAATGATGAATTGGTCTTGAGTTGTATACAGGGCAGCTGTGGATGCTACGATCGTTTTTGCACCTGCTGCCCCCCCCCCCCCCCCCCCCCCCCCCCCTCCTCTTCTTTCTCTCTCTCTCTCTTTCCTTTTTTTTTCCTTTTCCCTTTTCTTTTTT